ACAGGATGTGTCAAAGTTAGGGTAAAAAACCAACCCCTCAATTAACCCTGTATAATATGCCAAATACTAAAGTTTATAAAAAACTGATATTGCCAGTTAAAGTTGGTATAATTATATACAGCTTGTTAAAAAATTCATGGAAATAGTGCTAAAATTAACTTTTTTTTTAACAAAAATATAACGCTTTAAATTTGACCAAAATTTTCTAAGTTGCGTTTTTTTTGCATCTGAGTGTATTTATCGAGATGATATCCTTTATCAGTTTTCTTTGTAACGGTTTTAAAATAGGCAACTTAAGTAGAGTAGTAACTTTAAATACAATATTATACGGGGTGCGCCTCAAAAGTGGCTCACCCCTATAACTTTTTTATTTTTTTATATAAAACAACAAGATTTGGTATGTTAGTATATGACATAAATTAGAATTCATTGACATATTCAACCTTAAAACTTGCGGTTTCACCGGAAATTTCTACAACTTTTGATTTTTAAACGACACCCTCGGTATTTATTTTACTTTATTCGATAGAAAATGACACTCTGAATAGAATGACAATCATATGTCAACTTTTGACATTTTCGCATATAGTTTATTTGAAATTATAACATGCGGTTCATAACGACAATTGGCCTCGAAAGACCAAGTGAGTGGTATCAAATTATTCGTAAAAAATGCTTTTTCCAAATAGGTATGCTAATGAGCCACCCTCGTTCCATTTTAAAAAATTGAGATATGATTAAAAATACTATTTGGGCATCTTTGAACCGATCAGGACAAGATACTAAAACATTAGACGATCAAATCTATTTTTTCAAGGCTCCTTGATTAAAAATTAGTATTTTTAACATAGCCATGGCACTCTAGATTGAAATCTAAAATACAATTTGTTTTTGAGCGAATATGTCAAAAGTTAAAAATCGAAAGTTGTAGTCATTTTTGATGAAACAGGAAGTGACCGAAAACAATTGAATACGTCATTCAATCCTAATTTATGTAATATTCTAACATACCAAATCTCGTTTTTTATCTGAAAAAATAAAAAAGTTATAAGGGTGAACCACTTATGAGACGCACCCGGTATAGTCTAGTCGAATTATATTTTGGGGGAAAATTTTGGGGTAGTTCTGATTTATTATATTCTTTATGTCTCTTGGAGCGTTGAATCCGAATCTGATGTTTGCTAACAAACTTTGTGACCGAACATTGAAAAATTCAAAAAACGTAAAAAAATAGAATTTTTGTTGTTAGAGTAGCTTCAATCTACTTGCTGAGAAAAGCATTTTATTTACTTTTGGAATTTTCACCGATAAAGTTACAGCAAACTTGTAAACTTATCAATAAGACTTTTATTTATTATTGAGAATTATTGTTGAATTGTTGTGCAGAAATGCAGTTGTGGACTGTATTAATTTTAAATTTTAGTTAGACTGGTCTTATTTTATCAATGTAAATTACGTTAATAGCTGGGAGAAACCGCACAGAGAAATGAGAGACCTGCTCCTACCTTTAATGGTCGTCTCAGACAGCTTCAGAGGGCCCTCTTCTCGATCTTGATCTTCTCAGCGCTAATTTTCACACATACACTAACATGAATCGTCTTTGAAGGGATTTAACTTTTAAGTTCAGACTTTCGGCGCGTACCGGTTAGCTGACCAATTTCGTCGTACGACGGTTTGTAATAGACTGTGTGCCACACTTCCTAGTGTTCGGGCATGCTACACTAATGTTGCAGGAAGCAGGTATAAGTGCGGCAATTTAAAATTTAAAGAAATTAAAATAATTAATCTTAATCTAAGAAATTACATAAAAGAAAATAATTTTATAAAAAATATTAAGTTTCCTTAACATTCCACCCACCAAAACATATGTTTTTAAAAATAAGATAAAGGAAAAAAGAAATAATAATGCAAAGTTAAGAATAAAAAAAATGTATAAAGAATTATTTTACCTTATTAGTTGCCAGGTAAAGGGCAAATTTTGACAACTGGCCTTTGTAATATCCCATGTGCAGTTGTAACTACACGAACAATATTGTCTTTTCCGGGATGAAGCTTTATGACTCTACCCAATTCCCAAGATAACGGAGATTTTGTTTCATGTTTGATCAGAACTAATGAATTCAGTTTTATTTCAGGAGTAGGTTCAGTCCATTTATGCCGTTCTTGCATTAAATGTACATACTCCTGAGACCAACGTTTCCAAAAATCAGTATGCATACGTTGAATTAGTTGCCATCTTGACAATCTATTAAGAGGGATAGAGGTCAGATCAGATTCTGGAAAACCAATTGTTAAAGGTTCTAAGGTCAGAAAGTGACCGGCAGTTAATGGTTGTAAATCATTGGGATCGGCACTTATAACCGATAATGGCCGAGAATTCAGCACTGCTTCAATTTGGGTTAGAATAGTGGAGAATTCTTCATATGTCAAAATCTGAGAGCCGATTGTTCGATATAAATGAGATTTCATAGATTTTACACCGGCTTATTTATCTTAGGTTGGTCAGAACAAATTTTCGGTAAAATGATACTATCAAAAGAGAATAGAGGATTAGAATCATTACATGGTTTAATCGTACAATGTGTGACGCCCTGATTTGTTTGCGCCGACATTCCATTAAGTCCTTCAATGGGAATAGAAAAGCGTTTGCGTGGTAATCCAAGACGATTTACACATTTTTCTGTAATAAAGTTAGCCATGCTAGCGGAGTCAAAGAGAATTCGAATTTGTTGAAAGTTTCCCCGAATATCTTTGATGTCGACAATGGCTGTAGATAATAAAACCGTAGATTGTTTAGTAGATAACGTGCTCGCCATAGCACTGACAGAAGGGCCAGGAGTTGACTCTAGGATTGCACGGTCATCAGTGTGATTGAAATTTGAATTGACTGGAGTATTAGATGAAGAACTATCTATAGCTTTATCCAGATGCAATAATGTGTGATGAGGAGATCCACAAATTTTACATTTAAAGAAGAATTGCATTTTCGTACAGAATGGGAAGATAACAAACAATTTGTACATAAATTGTGTTGTTTAGCAAAGTTTAACCGGTCCTGCGGTGTTTTTGAAAGAAAGGAAAAACATCTGTATAATGCATGTGAAGATGAACACAGTACACATTTCAGTTTGTCCCCCTTATTAGATTGATATGGTGTGGCATTGTTATTACTTGTTGTCATAAAGGCTGGATAACCAGTTTTAATTTCTGAAGGTTTTTTTTAGATGAAAAACTAGAGGATTGATACGATTGTTTGCTCTTATCCTTATAATGTTCATTATTGTATGAAGTAGTAAACTGAACTGATTCTAAGGCTTTACATTCATTTTCCAAAAAATGTGTTAAATCTGAATATGTCGGAATTTCGACAGTATTTTGAACTTCAAAATCAGTCCTAATAGAAACATTTAACTTTTGCAATAACATATTAAATAAGAGAAAATCCCAATGAGTAACAGGAAATTGCAAAACGCGTAGCGCAGAAATATTTTCGGAAAAAATGTCCAGCTTGACAGATTTCATTATAATGATAAGTAGCCAACAATCTTTTATTTTGATATCGATTTTTAATAGCAGTATAAGCAACTGTATAATTATTTTCAGTGACTGGAAGTCCTTTAATTACAGATAGAGGTTCTTTACCCAATGACGTTAGTAAATATTGGAACTTTTCTACATTTGACAATTGTGAATTTTCATGTATTAAAGTATTAAAAAGATCAAAAAATCCAGACCAATTTTTGAAATTGCCTTCGGAAGAGTAATTTTCGGTAATTTTGCAGTAATTTTAGGAGTGGAAACATTGGTCGAATTATTTGTCAAAGAACTGTCACCTACAATTTGATATTTTATAGCTTTAGATCCGTAGAATGCGTTGTCAGCTGATATACGTAAAGCATCATATTTTTTAAAATCTTTCGTCTGAAAAAAATCTAAAATCGTCTGATATGAGAGAAATAATTTGATTGTGATAAGTCATAAAATCTTCATACACCTTGTCAATAGTCTCTACTCTAGCTAAAAATATCGATTTTTGAGAGTTGTCACTAGATATTGCAACACAAATGTCATAAGTTTCTTTTAAACGGTTAAACGCTGTTGTTCGTTTTAAATCATACTTAGAAATTTTATCTAACATAGTGAAAATATTTTAATATTATATCTGATTTTGAATAAATGAAATTATAATATTAAAACTAAAATAATAATAATTGAGTTCAGGTAAAACTGCAAGAATTAATATCAGTAAAAAATATTGTTTATAAACAAATGTGAAACTATAAAAAAAAATGTACTAAGTACAATTGTGACAGTACAATACGATAGTACAATTCTACGTCGCTCAGAATTTACCCGACCAAGTAAATTGGTGCGTATTTGTATCGCTGCGCGCTCGTACAAAAAATGAACCAAAAAACTATAAGGCTTGGTATCTGTGGAATGTATGGATTTTAAATCGCAAAATTGAAAACTGATATATTAAAAAGAATTATAAAATAAAATCCGGCTCGAAGGACCAAAAATGTGGAGAAATGCAGTTGTGGACTGTATTAATTTTAAATTTTAGTTTGACTGGTCTTATTTTATCAATGTAAATTACGTTAATAGCTGGGAGAAACCGCACAGAGAAATGAGAAACCTGCTCCTACCTTTAATGATCGTCTCAGACAGCTTCAGAGGGCCCTCTTCTCGATCTTGATCTTCTCAGCGCTAATTTTCACACATACACTAACATGAGTCGTCTTTGAAGGGATTTAACTTTTAAGTTCAGACTTTCGGCGCGTACCGGTTAGCTGACCAATTTCGTCGTACGACGGTTTGTAATAGACTGTGTGCCACACTTCCTAGTGTTCGGGCATGCGTACACTAATGTTGCAGGAAGCAGGATACCTGACGACTCACAGGCAGCTTTGGTCTAATCCTGTATCATCATTTTATCATACTATTTTTTATGTAAACCTACTATTAAATGCTACTTAAATGTATTAAATGCTACTTACCTGCAGCAATTACTATATAGGGGTCAGTTATTAGTGATCTTAAGGATGGTGGATCTGATTCCTGGATCGTGACGGACGGTTGAAGCATAAGCAGTTGTAGTACTAGAAAAAAAACAAAAGTGAAATATCAAGCAACAAGTTTATCCAGATACGACGCCATCTTGATTTTTGTTAAATAGAAACCCCATCATATTTTAGCATCTTCCGGTAGACATATTTTCGTTTTCGATATACAGTGCATTTAAAAATTAAATGTTCCAAAACTATTTTAAAAGTCGCACCCAATTTAAAATTTTCCAGTTTCCTATTTTAAGATTTTGGATAAAAAATCGGCATCCTCGCGAAAAATTACATTAAAATATCTTTTTACTATCTTAAAATAGGAAATAGGAGAATTATAAATTGGGTGAGACACTTAAAATTATTTTGGAACAATTCATTTTTAAATGCACTGTATATCGAAAGCGGTATGCGGAAAGTATACTGAAATATATATTTTTGAAATTAGCTAAAATATGTCTACCAGAAGATTCAAAACTCAAAATTCTTTATTCATGTGAATTACCATTAAGGTTTACAATCGTCAATGTTATCAAGCCTTGCAAGATACAAAGTAAAAAGTCAAAAAGTAAAATGAGGTAAATATGTTATACATATATAATAACACATGATGATAATTACACATGATGCACAAGATGCTAAAATATGTAGAGGTTTCCATTTATAAAAGTTCTATCTGTTAAAATTGACGTTTTAAAAAATTTTGAGGTTAGAAAATCGACATCCTCGCAAAAAATTACATTAGAAAATCTTTCTACTATCTTTAAAGATGAAACAGAAAAATTATAAATTGAGTGAGACACTTAAAACGATTTTTGAACATTTCATTTTTAAATATCGATAGAGGTAAGCGCAAAGTATACTGAACTGTATATTTTTGAAATTAGCTAAAATATGTCTACCGGAAGATGCTATAGCTTACTTCGGGTTTTTCTTATTACCGATTCTGAACCATCCTAGAACTGTGATACGCATGCGCAGGAGGAAATACGGAGAAATTATTTCATTAGTGCATGCGCGGCAGAGTTCTAGGACAGTTCAGAGTCGATAATAATAAGAACCCGAACAAAGCTTATATGTAGAGGTTTCCATTTATAAAAGTGGTATCTGTTAAAATTGACGTTTTAAAAATTTTGAGGTTAGAAAATCGGCATCCTCACAAAAAATTACATTAGAAAATCTTTCTACTATCTTTAAATATGAAACAGAAAAATTATAAATTGAGTAAGACACTTAAAATGATGTGCGTAAATAGTAATGCCGCTGCAAATTTCTTGTTTTTAATAATAGCATTTTTTTGGTTAATTTTAAAATTTTCTTTGCAATATTAGTACAAAACGAGGCAAATATTACATACCTTAAGTTGTCAACCTATTATTTTATCATTGTTAAATGTAATTTGTTGTGCTGTTTACACTATTACGTTATAGTACCTATGCTTATTATCTCCAAAATGTACTTTTGTAATTTAAAACTAGTTCGAATGAGGCGAAAGCCTAGCGTTTAAAAAATACAATTTGACATTGAGAAAATTATAGGATGACAATTTAAGGTACGTTGGCATTTGCCTGGTTTTGCATTGTTACCTGTTTAGTTTTGATTTAAAAACAGATGCAGTTTTTCTTAAATTAATTAAAATAGGCTCTAAAATTGCTCAAATTTGGCTTGTGTATTCCGCATAGGCGGACCTTTAAAAATTATTTAGGACATATCTGTAAAATTAATAGGGGAACCAATATTTCTTCTTTTTCGTACGTTAGAACCAAGTCCTGTGTTTTTTTCAATGGTTCCCTAAGAACAGTTGAGATGATGAAGACCAGCTTTAATACCATCTTATAGGTGGTCGTCCCAGCGGTCGAGGCGTGTTGGGTCTTCTCTCCTTAGCAATTTTCGCTAACCGGTCGTTTGACATCCTGTCCACATGGTCTCTCCACTCTCTTCTCCTGTTCCTTGCCCATTTTACTACATCCTGTACTTCACATGCTTCTCTTATATCTTCACTTCTTTTCCGGTCATATAAGGTATATCCTGTAATTGATCTAAGTGTTCGCATTTCTGTTGTTCTTAGGAGACGTTTTGTTGTTGTGCTCTGCTCTAGTCTCTATCGCATAACCGGTCTCATGCAAGCCTTATAAATTCTAATTTTGCTTCTGACGTATATTTATTATTTATTTCGCCAAATTATATCCCTTAAATATCCTGATTTATCATTAATGATGCCCTTGTTTTTTGGGTTTTTACTTCCTCTTTTAGATTCCTAGTGCTTGTTATATTTGACCCTACATATTTAAATCACATCACCTGTTCTACACTCTGATCATAGATTGCGAGTTAACATCTTCTAGGTTCTCTAGATATTGTAAGGGATTTTTTTTCACGGATATTTGCATGTTAAATAGTTTTGTCGTTTTTTGGAACTTATTAGCCAACATTTGAACAGTTTTAAATTTACACGGGATCTCCTAAGTTTCCATTCTTTAACGTTACTTTATGTCTCAGACCTATCATTTTTGGACCAGTCTCTGCTATTAACTATTAACAGCTATTAACTTTTGAGGCCAATATTTTTCTTAGTGTATTTTCTACTACGCTTGCTATAAAACATACGGGTTAAATTAATTTGGTTACCTAGTTATTTGTATTATCCGATTGATAAGTAAATCAGTCTAAAACTATACAGGGGGCTACAAATTCGAGGTACGAGCATTGGTATTTCGGTAACCGCAATAGATATGAACATGGTTAAATTGGGGCAAAGTTGCGCCTTGGGATGTTCACCAAGATGTCATCAAAAAAGTTTTAAAAATTTCAAGGATTGTTGAGTTTTTTGGAGAAAACGGATTTTTCTGGAAATCAATTTTATTTTTTCCTGTCGTTATTTTTTAGAAAATCAAAAAACTAATTCCACATTCTCATAGCCACTTTATTAGGGCTATCTGATAGTATTTTTAGATTTTTAAATTAGCTGATAATTTGTGAGATACAGAACACACATTAATGCATTAACATGCATTAATTTTTTTAAATACGGATCTTCATTTTTTATTTCAGTTTTTGAAAGAATTAATTCTCCTGAGTACAGTGATATGCCACACTTAATATTTTTTGTTTCGGACATTTGAACACAATTTATTTAACTAATTTCAAGTCCGGCTCTGTTTTTTTTTAATATTAAATCTATTCATGGTTACAGTATTGATAAGTCTTTAAACTTAGGGGACTCAAAAAACTCACAATCTGTTAAAAGATCCATAAAATTAACACCCTAAAAGATTGTGAGCTTTTTGAGTCCCCTACCCCTCGTCAGAGGTTTTACATTAATACCTTTAAATTGCTGACCTGGGTATTATTTATTTGAATCTTTCAACTGGCTTCTTTCGATTTCCTTATTCAATATTAATTAACGCTGATTAATATTGTTGCAATGAATTGTTGCATTGAATTCAGAGTTGCATTGAATTCAGATTAAATAATTAAAAAAAACAGAATCGAACTTGAAATTATTTTAAATAATAATTAAACAGTTTTGTTGTTGTTAAGGTTCCCAAAACAAAAAAAGTATAAAGTGTGTAGCTTTGTATATATCATATCTCAGGAGACCGAGTTAAGTTGGTCTCTCTATTTCACAAATTATCAGCTAATTTGAAAATCTAAAAATACTATCAGATAGCCCTAATAAAGTGGCTACGAGAATGTGCAATTAGTTTTTGATTTTTTAAAAAGTAACGACAGGAAAAAATAAAATTGATTTTCAATCCGCTTTTTTCCAAAAAACTCAGCAATCCTTGAAATTTTGAAAACTTTTTTGATGGCATCTTGGTGAACATTGCAACTTTGCCCCAATTTAACCATCTTCGTATCTATTACGGTTTCCGAGATACCAATGCTCGTACCTTGAATTTGTAGCACCCTGTATAGCACAAATGTACAATAAATGTTTTCAAACTGTTAAGTAAAAGAAAAGACAAAGACTCGGCAATCGGTTTTATTGAGCTGCTACACATAAACGCAGCGTGAAATAATGTAACGAAATAAGACAAGCATTCAGTAGCCGATTTACGGCTTATTCTGATCCGATCTCGCAGTCTGGTTCACAAAACACCCCATTTTGCAGGCGACTTCTTTTTCATTATCCCTTCAGCCCGAAATTTATTCCTTCGGCCTGTGAATGGCCGACTTATATCTGCGCTTCGTCGCCTTGTCCGCGGATATCCTTTTACGATATGATAGGGAGTATTGGTAGGGCGCCTTTAATATAAGAAAACGTTAAAAAAGCAAAGAAAAATGATTGATCAGGTTTGTTTAATCTGATTTCGCTTTTTACAGTTTTATTTTACTATAAAAAGTTTTAAGATAGGGACGGAATTAAAGTTTTTTTGGCGGAGCAAGTTTGCAACGGATGGAACTTTTATTTATCATTCACTAAATGTGTAACACCAAAGGTTCCAACCCTCAACTGTAATTATCGTTCACTTGCCAAAACGTATATAAAAATTCAGCATTTATCACATTATTTTATTACGGAGTAATAAAATAATATAAAATGCCATGCGACAACTTTGCCAATTAAGTTCTAAAGAAATAAAACATTATAAACAATATTTGTTTTTTTAGCAACTGTTAAAATTGCCTTATACTTATTTATCAAAAATAGTAGATAAAACAGTACTTTAACCGCAAGGGTAGATTAAATGATACTTTAACAGCGAGGATAGGTTAAAAACTTTATTTCTTCTCGTACGTTTTTTAATTGCTTCCATCTTTGAAAATTTTTGTATTCCTTTTCATAAGTTATTCGGGATTTAAATGGAAGTAGTTTGGATTTGGCGTTTGTCGCCGGAATATCTGTTGATAATTTACTTATTTCGTTTTGAGCCATTTCTGGCTCCAATTCAATCAGCAATCGACAAGTAAGAGAATTAAAAAATATTGACTCAAAACTGACAACTAAAGAGACAGCTTTATTTATTTGTCAAATTACATAAAAACCAACGCCAACCCAGCACAATATTTTTTCTACTCGTAATAAATTTCTTGCAATA